TCTTCCTCCTCCCCTTCCTCCTTCCTCCTCCTCCTTCCTCCTCCTCTTCTTCCTCCTCCTTCCTCTTCCTCTTCTTCTTCCTCCTCCCCTTCCTCCTTCCTCCTCCTCCTTCCTCCTCCTCTTCTTCCTCCTCCTTCCTCCTTCCTCTTCCTCTTCATCTTCCTCCTCCCCTTCCTCCTTCCTCCTCCTCCTTCCTCCTCCTCTTCCTCCTTCCACCCGTGTCCGTGGGTTTGTGGGGGGGTCTCCAGCCATCCTGGCATTGCTGGTGCAGCCCTGGGGGGAGCTGTGGGACCACAGCTGCAGGGGAAATCTCTTGCAGGCTGCTCCTCAGCCCTGACCTGCTGGTGTTCCTGCAGGTGCTGTGGCCAGCACGGTGGTGAAGCAGAAGCTGGCTGAGGTCATCCTGAAGAAGCAGCAGGCAGCTCTGGAGAGGACCAGCAACCCCAACCCTCCAGCCATGCCCTACAGGTAAAACAGGGGCATCCCAGGGCCTTGCCCTGAGCATCTACAAGTGGCATCTGCAAGTGGCTGTTGGGCTTGGGCAGGATCTTGCAGTTCTCTTGACCTCCTGGTCTTCAGAGATGTTTGTGTAGGTGCCTCCTGCTGGGCTGGGGTGGGTTGGTTCTGGGTCAGGAGCTTGCAGGAGGTACATGGAGTTCCCTTCTTGTTTTCCCTGTCCTTGTGGGGCTTTGGTGCCTCCCTGACCTTGTGGGGCTTTGGTGCTTCCCTGTCCTTGTGGGGCTTTGGTGCCTCCCTGACCTTGTTGGGCTTTGATGGGTCCCTGTCCTTGTTGGATTTGGGTGGTTCCCTGTCCTTGGGCTTTGATGCCTCCCTGTCCTTGTTGGGCTTTGATGGGTCCCTGTCCTTGTTGGATTTGAATGGTTCCCTGACCTTGGGCTTTGGTGCCTCCCTGACCTTGTTGGGCTTTGGTGCCTCCCTGACCTTGGGCTTTGGTGCCTCCCTGACCTTGTTGGGCTTTGGTGCCTCCCTGACCTTGGGCTTTGGTGCCTCCCTGACCTTGGGCTTTGGTGCTTCCCTGTCCTTGTTGGGCTTTGGTGCTTCCCTGTCCTTGTTGGGCTTTGGTGCTTCCCTGTCCTTGGGCTTTGGTGCTTCCCTGTCCTTGGGCTTTGGTGCCTCCCTGACCTTGGGCTTTGGTGCTTCCCTGACCTTGTGGGGCTTTGGTGCTTCCCTGTCCTTGTTGGGCTTTGGTGCTTCCCTGTCCTTGTGGGGCTTTGATGGGTCCCTGTCCTTGTTGGATTTGAATGGTTCCCTGACCTTGGGCTTTGGTGCCTCCCTGACCTTGGGCTTTGGTGCTTCCCTGTCCTTGTGGGGCTTTGGTGCTTCCCTGTCCTTGTGGGGCTTTGGTGCCTCCCTGTCCTTGTTGGGCTTCAGTGGTTTGTCCCAACTGTCCTGTCAGTCCCTTTTCTACTGGCCCAAGACAAGGCAAAGCCATCAGCTTTGTAGGTGTTTGTGGTGGGGGCCACAAACATGAGCTGGGACTGGGATGGACTGGACAAGCCCTTCTGGCCACCAGCAGAGCAGCTCTCACCTGCCTGGGCGGGTGTCACATCAGTGGCCCATGGCTACCAGCTGGGAACAAGGTCCCTTAACAAGGTGGCTTCTCCCTGTAGGTCTCTGGAGCCCCTGGATCCTGAGGGCCCTTCCCCTCCCGTGCTCAGCACCTTCCTGCCCCCCGTGCCCAGCACTGCCCTGGAGCCCCCCGAGCACTTCCCGCTGCGGAAGACGGGTGAGACCCCGGGGTGGCACCCCCTCCTCCCACCTCCTGCCTGGGGGGCTGGGACTGGGGTGCAGGGACTGGAACTGGGATGCAGGGACTGGGGTGCAGGGGCTGGGACTGGGATGCAGGGACTGGGGTGCAGGGGCTGGGACTGGGATGCAGGGACTGGGATGCAGGGACTGGGATGCAGGGGCTGGGACTGGGACGCGGGGGCTGGGG